GAGCGATGCTGCTCTATTATGAGTGTGTCTGAATGTGTATGTGTGTGTGTGTGTGCGTGTGTGTGCCCTATGCCAGCGATAGATAGATACTTACGTATCGCCAGATAGACGTACTACCAACAGTCGCTGTAAATACACTCGCAGAAATTGTCTAGAAGCTGCTTTCGCTAAAAATAGGCATTGCAGATAGCCATCAAAGACTTGCCAGAGCAGCGGAACACTGGCAAATGAAACGTGGAAGTGTGAAACATGCAAACAGACTGTGCTGATATGTTAGCCATGACAATGTGGAACAGTGGAAGGTAAAACAGTGGCAACTGAAACAGTGAAATGTGTCTCAAAAGAGAGTCTGGAACTGAAATGTGGAGAGTGGAACGTTGCATGAATATGAAACAGTAAAATGGGTGAGAACAAATCGCAGATGATGAAGCAATGGAGAAATCTCAATGAGATTTTGGAACTGAAATGTGGAGAGTGCAAATCTTACTATGGAATTGAAACAGTGAAAGTAAAACAGCATTGCAATGACATAGCAGGAGCAGTGCGGAGCACTGAAAAGCGAAACAGGAAGCATTGAAACAGTAATTAATTCCATTTGCTAAAGAAGTATAAGCATTTTGCTTCATTTCGGTTCGTTTGGGCCATTCCACTGTTCCTTTTCATTAGCATTGTGCACCTGCTCATTTCTTTGAGTGTATGGCCCACTATTGTCTTAATTATGTGCTGTTGTCTCTGCCGCTGCCGCCGCTGCTGCTGCTGCTGCTGCTTTTGTTGGTTCGGCCTCTGCTGCTGCTAGGCAAGGCGTGACTATCTAACGCCAGACAGTCACAGCCGCAGCCGCTTGGCTTACTCATCGTCTCATCAGCTAGCCCAGCCCTGCCCCTCCTACCCGGGACCCCAATCCCCCTATGCCCTGCTCTGCCTCCCGCCACGCCTCGCCCCTCACTCACACGGAGCCCCTTGCTGAAGTGCCCAAATTGTTGGCTAGCTTTTTTTTTCGTTTTCTGTTTTCTTTTTCTTCTTTTTTGTTGTTGCTTCTTGCGCGTTCCGCTCTCGTTGTCGTTGCCGCCGTCCTCTCAGCCGCTGGCTCTGCCATGCGCCTCCCGCTCTCTGAGATGACCATCGGCATCGGCATCTGTCGTCGTTGTCGTTGTCGTTGTCGTCGTCACCGTCGGTCGCCACTTGTTTATTTCTAAGTATTTGGCGCTCTCGCAAGATCACGCGCCGCACCGATCGCTGATAAAAATTGCTGCTTTTGGGGGCCCGCACGGCACTTGTGGCAGGGCGCAGGGGCCGGCCAGCAGGGCTTGGGGGTGGGGCTGCTGCCTCTAATCTGCGAGTGTTCTAATTTAGAGATGGGCGCATAGTCACGAATTTTGTAGACAATAAATTCACAGATCTTAAGAATCACAAAAAAAAAAAAAATAATAATAATAATAATTAGGTGCATCTCTGAAATCGAAAGGAGAGAGATCTAGATCACAGGATTAGAATTATATATATAAGGCATACAAACTGTTTGAGCCAATTTGCAACTACTCTTAGTAATGCTTTACCTGAGCAAATTTGCAAACTGTAGATCCATAGACTATGCAGAGTCGGAGCTCTACGAACTAGCAACATTGCTAAATAAACTTTTAGAATTCAATGTAGAAATGAAATTTATATGTAAAAACATGTATATCTAGAGATTATAGTAAAAGATATAGCAATAGATCGCACCTAAAAAGATAAAAGACAGGTTAATGTATATAGTCAAGAAAGCCAAACAAGATTTCGAATATAATATCTATTATAGAAAGAGAGAGAGAGAGAGAGAGGGAAGAGAGAGAGAGGGAAGAGAGAGATAGAATTGTATATACATATATGTATGTATACTAAATAATCCCCAGCTCATTTATTGACTCTTAATTATGTCCATTCGCAGGGCGCCTGGCATTGTTTGGACTGGAATAACTAATTGGCTTTTGGGCGGGGCTGGATCATGCGTTCGCTCGTGTCCGACGTTGATTTATTTCCGAACTCGGGATCTCTATGGCCCAGCTCCGACTGGTCACATGGCAGCGGAACATTTGTGGTGCGGCATCGAGCATTGCACTGTTTATGGTATTTTGGCAAATGCACGTGCCATTCCACTATTTATGATCGCGTGTTGTTTGTTTGCTTTGACTCGGCATCGGCAACGCTTTTCTAATCAAAGACACCTTAATAAAGAAAAAAAAAAAAAGAAAAAAAGCCGAAAATAACCTGCTAATTGATGCCACAATCAAGAATCGCCCCAGTCCGTACCCGAGTCAGAGCCCAGAAGCCAGCGGAGCTCGAATCTATCTGATTCGACGCTAAGTGGGAGGCAAACAATGCGCAAAACGAAATGGTAAACAGATAGTGTGTATTTTGCGAGCTCCCACAATGCTGGAGACCCCAATGGGTGTAAGAGCTATGGAATAGTTGGAATAGTTTGGCAAGTGAAACGGAAAGATGCGCTAAGTGGAACAACAATTAGAGAAGAGCACATAAGAAGGGCTTATGCAAAAGGAATTATTTGATAGGTGGAATGGAATCGGGAACAGTGATGTATGAAGATGTGAAACAGTGAAAACGAAATGGTAAGCAGGTGTTTGGCTTTTACTTGGTCTACCAAGTGCCGAAACAATAATTCGAATCAAATATGAAAAAAAATAAACTTTCTTCATTATGGAATGCATGGAATATGAAACACGGATATATAGATTAGTAATATGTGAAAGACTGAAATATGCAAATGTTGTATATGTGGTTAGTAAGCAAATAAAATTGAAGATTGAAACAGTGAAAATGGCACACGCATATTAAGAGAAGTACACGAAATGTAAAATCTATAAATAACTGCAGGTTTTTGTCAAGCTATATTGAACTTATCCAGTAAAGCCAATAGAACATATTTCCAATGAGTACTGGAACGCTGGAATTGGGCCATGTTTAAGCTGTTTCGCAGCCTAAAGCCAACTTTCAGACTAATTCGATAGTATAAGACCTCAGAGATATAGCTTAGATCAAGCGAATGCCTAGACAGCTACGTAATACGTTCCAATTTCAGTTGTTGCTATAGCTACCTACTGCCTAGGTGTAGACGTTGAATCGTGACAGAATATGAGTTGAAAGGGAAACCAGATTGTAGGCACAGAGTCGAGGCGCATGCACAGCTATACACATAGACACAGGTATTTAGCTAAGGTAAATACTTTCGTGTAAGTGGTTGGGCATGTCTCGGGCCTGGGGTTGGGTGTCGGGTGTTGGGTGCTGAGTGCTGAGTGCTGGGTGCTGGGGCTCTGGTCTGGGCGGCAGTTCTAGACATTCCATGGGAATGTGTTCCACAAAGCGAATGCGCCTATTTTTAGATACCTCAAAATGCATGCACAAACAGCAAAGATATCTACATATATCTTCTAGTATAGTATATATAGTAGTAGTTGCAGTCGGTGAATCTAAATCGAAATTTGACTCGTGACGATGATGGATCATTGCGTTGGCATTTGCTCCAGCTTAACGAATGACGTCAGCAGCTGCATGGGAATGGCGGAATGCGGCCAAAGATCATGCGTTCTGTATCGCCTCAGTGTGTAATCATAATACCATCCAAAAATTCCGCTAGACCAAAAATATCAAAACAGAAAAACAAAAATACATATATATACAATATATATGAAACAAAAATAATGTAAATTTTGTGCAAAAATAAAAACATATTTTTGCAGTTACGCACAGTTGCACTGATAAACAAATGGTATGCCCGACTATGAAATACTCAGCAAAATATTGAAGCTGCATTTATAGTAAAATGGTATTAGCTATTAATGGAAAATGTTACTAGAACAAGTTTATTTGCCGACATAAATTAGAGACTTAGTTTAATTTATATAAAATATAATTAATTTAATTTATATAAAATTATATAAAATAATTGACTTTGTTTCTAATCAGTGGAATATTGTACTTTTTTTTTTAATTAATTCATAGAATAAATGTTGTTATCAATAAATAAATATGTATGCAATTCACATTACACCTACACATATCATACCTACACATTGTCAGTTGCTCGTTTTTACAGGGTATGCATGAACGTTGTCGTCGTTTGCTCGCTTGCATTAATACTTCGCACATTGCGCATACGCCGCGTGCGCCAATGCGCGGCTGCCTGTCGTAGGTTAGTTCCGCCGACAGCTCAGCTCCAAAAGGCGAATACACATATACATACATACATCGATACATACGTACACATACATACATGTGCGTATGCTGGATAGTGGCGTATGCTTCAACAGCCCGCAGCAAACAGAAAAAAACACCACAAAGACAAGAAAAAAGAAGAAATCCATGTGCAGACGGGGCGAGCAGGATGGGTGGGTGGGTGTGTGAATGCTGATTGCTGGGCGGGGCAGGCGCGCATTAGGTTAATAGATAGTGGCAAAAGACAAAACAAACAATATAAAATACACGTTATAGGAACAACAGCAGCAGCAACAAGAACAGCAACAACAACGACAACAGCAGCAGCAAGAGAAATGAAATTAAAATCCACAATAAGCCAAACAGCAACAACAACTAATCCAGCAGGCAGCGAAGCGCGCACGTCGTCGTGCATGTTGACAAAACACAAAAAAAAAGAACAAAAGCTACTAAAGCTAAAAAAAAAGGAAAAAAAATTAACAACAACAAAAAGCTCAACAACAAAAGAACGTCAACGCCGACAGCGACGTCAGCGTCAGTGTCAAGCAGAGCGCAGCTGTCGGTCGTTGTCTATTTGCCTATTTGCCATACAGTTATGTGCTTGTATGTATGCCTCTGTGTGTGTGTGAATGTGTGTGTATGTGCGCGAGCGTTTGTCACATGCGAGAGAGCCGTCAACGCAGAGAGAGGCGCGAGGCAGCGCGGCATCTATTCTATGCTGCTGCTACTGCTGCTGCTGCTGCTGCCGGCGCGCGTCAGCGTCAATCGAACTTCAGTTTGTCCAAGATCGCGCCGACCGAACGAACGACGCTAGAAAAGACGCGCGCGACAACAACAAAAACAACGACGACCACGACGAAAGAAAAAAAAACGCAGCGAATTCGAATGATAGAAAAGAAGCATAACAAAAACAAAAACCATACGAAAGCCGAAGACAGCCGATTCCGAGTGCAGCCGAAATTGAGAAATAAACGCGAACTGTTAAAAGTTAACGGTTAAACGCGAGCGTCGTCCTGCACCAGCAGCAACAACAACAAGCAGCGGCTTTTGCGAAAACAAATCGCGCATTTTTCAATTCTTGTAGGTGACAAAAAAAAAAAAAAAAGTGTTGAAGCATGCGTGCGCCTGTGTGTGTGTGTGAGTGTGATTGAACAGTCACACACATGTACACATTTATATAGCTGACCTGCTCGCACTTGCCATTGAATGCAATTCAAGAGACAATCGAGCCTAAATGAAATTGGACATTGATAAATGTTAAACGATATCAAATATAGCATATTCATATACGATATACGCGACACGATATATCACATATGTATGTATATGATCTATGAGATATTTATGTGATATATGACGTCTGATTGATGGCTGGGCCAATCAATTTAGATGTATATAAATGCCTCAGAGGAAACTAAACAAAGTGCACTTTAAAACAAGCAAGTGGCGTGCAACTGACAGAGTCGACGTGCAAATACCCTATAATAGTGTAAATTTATATTCAGATAAGTCGAAGCAGCCTTTCCATGGCAGATAGCTAAAAGAGTTAATCAATCTGTCTCAATTTAGAGATACCCTCTGAATGTCAAGTCGAATATGAACTTACAATTCTTCCACTCTTTTACTTGTAACATATCTAAGGTCGATTCCGAACACCTACCGCTCTGTAAACCTTATCGAACTAGGGTATTTTTATAGTCACAATTAAAAGCATGTGGCATGGATTGGAGAGCTATTCAAAATTCACATAAATCTAAAGTGGATTTGTTAGCAAAATGAGCAAAATATGAAGTGCAATATTACTCAGTGACATTCTCGGCTAATTTCCGAGTGATCGACTGATCGACTGATCAAGTCATTAACTCGAGGAATGCAGAATGCACGGCGCAAGCTCGCACCGCCCCGCCCTAGACACCTTCAGCCAAGACACACACCCACAAAAAGCAGGCAATTACCTGGCAATGAAGTTGGCTTTTATTACTATCATTTTGAGGCTGCGTGAAGGGCGCCCCAAAATCCAAAAACAAATAATGAAAATAAAAAACTTGAAAAAAAAGCGAAAGCAAATCAGAAATCAATCGATCGACCGTTTGGGTTGGGGCATTCAGTAAATGCCATGCTAAAAAAAATACTTAAAAAAAAAAAAATAGAAATAAAAGAAACAATTTTACAATTTACAATTCAATGGCTGCTCGATCGGTCGGGAATCGGATCGTATCGCATCGTATCGCATCGCTTCAGCAATTGGTGTGGCTTACAGCATTGGCGATTGCACTGCAACAGCAAGGCGTGGCAGTTGGAGAAGGGGACGACAGGGGGAGAGAGCTTACTAGATGCTGGGTGCTCTGGGTGCTGGAAGCTGCCATTAAATAAGCACATAAATTGCGGGCGCTGATGACGCACCGAGAGGTATTTTTTGTTTTTGTTTTTCTGATCGAATCATACAAATTCTTTGGGCATTTCGCTGTTCTGGTTGTTGCTATTGATGTAATTAGCATTTGAATTATTATGAAGTCTTTGACACTGTTCAAGGATGCAGAGAATTAGAGAGAGAGGGAGAGAGTGTGAGTGCGAGAAATAGAAGGGGCAATAGGAATGAAGACATGGATAATGAGTGAGTACATTAAAGAGACAATGGGAGAGTGAAAGGAAGAGATGGAGAAAAGGGAAAACAGAGAGAAAGATAGAAATAGGAAGAGTAAGAGTGGTAGTGGGAGAGAGAGACAGAGAGAGAAAGGGAAAAGATAGACGGGTAATGGGAGGTAGAGGATTCAAGATATAGGTAGACTAAAATATAGAGATATATTTATAGAGATAAGTGGGCATACTAATATAAACATAAGCATGTGTGTAGATGTATAAAAAAATATTGATAGATAGCTAGAGAATACGAAAGATATCCGTGTACAGATATAGATATATAACAAAGAAAAAGATAGATATAAGGAGGATATGGGGAAATTGAATCAGTAATACCTTGTTCTTGGTTGCTCTAGCTGGAAGACGTCTCTTCGGTTGTCAGACACAAAAACCCGTAAGGTAACTGCTTAGTTTTATATAGGTCAAAGAACTAATGTATTCACTATGTTTAGTTGAAGACAGCATTATATACTTGCTGATCAAGTAAATTGGGTCTCTCGTATACGAAACAAAAAAGAAGAAACTGAAACGAAAAGCCAAAGCGAAAACGATTGAGAAAGATAGATAGAGGGGGAGAGGGAGCGAGAGAGGTTACTATATTAATGGATATTACAAATAACAGCTGCGCGAATTGTTCGCTTTGCACTCGACACCAATCGATATGTGAGCACGCAGGCGATCGATCATGCGAGTGATCGATCAATTGATCGATCTACGGCAATGCGAATCACTCAACAGGTTAACAGGTCTCCGTTGCTTTTCCAACTCTTGTCAGCCAGTTGTCAATTGCCAATTGCCAGTTGCCAGTTGCCATATGCTCGCTGAGCTGTATAAATATTCATACTTTGATGCGAATCAGAATTAAGCTCTTCTAACTCTTTAATTGCAGAAATGTTAAATCTGTGATGGATACCTATTTCAGTTCAATTTAGGAAAGAGAACCACACTGAGAATTGTCGAATGTATAGAGGCTAGATAGACAGTTCAGAGATAGGAGTGAACAGATAACCTGAGAGAGAGAGAGAGAGAGAGAGAGAGAGAGAGAGAGAACAGAGATTAGGCTCAAAAGATCTCATAATAGAAAAAAAGAAAAAATTTTGTTAAGAGTCAAAGTTCTTTAATAACTTTAAATTCTTAACTCAATTGTCAGAGCTTTTTAAACTCATTAGATTGCTGTTGCTTATATCCAGATTATCCTCAATTGATTTTGAAGGGCTTTACGCCAATGGAAGTTTAACTTGTTTTAATCCCATAAACGCTTCAATGTGCTTTCAAAGCTCCCCATAGAGCAGAAAATAAGACAACAATCACAGCAAACACATTGCCAATATCCATCAGCAACTTTCGCTAATCGATTATTCCCTTGATGGATATTGCCTTCAGCTTGTTAATAAAACAAAACACAATGCACAATAAACAATAAACAAAATACGATAAACGATGAGCGAATTCATATGCTTTCAATATGAAACAACAAAACTAACAGATGTTTGTGCAGTGCAGTGGCTTTTGCCATTTCCCATTTAAATCAGGCACAATTTTTTTGTGATTTACTTTGATTGGCATCTAATTTATGATTGACAGTTACAAACGTTGCGACCAGCCGATAGACCGACCGCCCGACCAAACGGCCAAGCGCTCCGTCAGCCTACCGCAAATGCGGATACAGATACACAGAAAGTGACAGATACGGATACATAGACAGATAGATACAGATACAAATTGAGAAATACACATTATAGATAGAGGAAAATAAGTATACGGATAAAGCTTCACATACAGGTACATATATGGGGATACAGATATAGATACATACATGTAGATACAGTTACAGATATAGATAGATACGTGGATAGATACATAGATAGAAAGATAGATGGATAGATAGTTAAATAGGTAGATAGATAGATAGATGGATAGATAGATAGAAAGATAAATGGATAGATGGGTAGATACATAGATACAAAGATACATAGATACATAGATACATAAATACATAAATACATAAATACATAAATACATAAATACATAGATACATAGATATATAGGTACATAGATACATAGATACATAGATACATAGATACATAGATACATAGATACATAGATACATAGATACATAGATACATAGATACATAGATACATAGATACATAGATACATAGATGCATAGATACATAGATACATAGATACATAGATACATAGATACATAGATACATATATACATAGATACATAGATACATAGATACATAGATACATAGATACATAGATACATAGATACATAGATACATAGATACATAGATACATAGATACATAGATACATAGATACATAGATAGATAGATACATAGATACATAGATACATAGATACATAGATACATAGATACATAGATACATAGATACATAGATACATAGATACATAGATACATAGATACATAGATACATAGATACATAGATACATAGATACATAGATACATAGATACATAGATACATAGATACATAGATACATAGATACATAGATACATAGATACATAGATACATAGATACATAGATACATAGATACATAGATACATAGATACATAGATACATAGATACATAGATACATAGATACATAGATACATAGATACATAGATACATAGATACATAGATACATAGATACATAGATACATAGATATATAGATATATAGATATATAGATATATAGATACATAGATATATAGATACATAGATACATAGATACATAGATACATAGATACATAGATACATAGATACATAGATACATAGATACATAGATACATAGATATATAGATACATAGATACATAGATACATAGATATATAGATACATAGATATATAGATACATAGATACATAGATACATAGATACATAGATACATAGATATATAGATACATAGATACATAGATACATAGATACATAGATACATAGATACATAGATACATACATACATAGATCACTCTCTTAGAGAGAGAGAGAAAGAGTGATTTACGTAGCTTGATTCTCCATTTGGCTGGCTGCGGTCGCCCTCATCTGACAGCATTGTCAAAAAAAAATACAATAGCTGGCAGCTACCGTTCCGAATGGTTAGCTGTAACCGCTGCCTCAACCTCAAACCCAACCCTAGAGCCGGGCTGCAGCCCCACCTCAAACCCCAAGCCGAGCGCCCAGTTCGATCATGAAATTGATTTCTCGGATTACGCGTCGTATGCGCAACAGCAGAACGTTTCAGTGCAGGTCTTTGCTGTTGGGCGTGCGATCTATTGCTGTAGTCGCTTATCAGTTGGGGCCGCATTACATGAGCCCATCAACCCCCTATATAGCGATGATATAATAGCCGATCGTACGATCGTAACGATACGATACGATTGATCGCACTGCGCGCTACCGTTGCGAATTCGGTGTAAACCCATTAAAGTCTTAACGTGGACTTGT